ACGCGATGAAGATTGAGTGATGGTGCGATAACGCGAGGAAGATGATGCGATTACGAGATACAGAGATGACGCAAAAATTGACGATGGAGCTATACTCACTATCACTTCATCGAGCCATTACGGTATCGCCATCGCAATGTCGCTGCATGGCATCGATTCAATGGTATCGCACCTTCGTCGTCGCGCCATCGACCCAACAGTCGCGATGCTTGATTGTGCAATAGTAAACTATGTGGTCCTATCCGGAGTTCATGTGAGAGAAAGGTTTTAAACAGTCCTCGCAAAGAAATTAATTATAATTTTCACTTGCTAAATATGTTAATTGTTTGAAAAAAATTGCAACTGAGCACATAGACTGGTGTACATTTTGTTCTTTGTGATATTTCGTAACTGAATAAAGTTTAATATGATTTAAATTGAGAGTTAAATTATTATTTTTTACCAAAATATCTTTATACTCAGTATTTTTGTCCGGGGTAGAAAGCCTCCCCTTAGATATAAATCCATTTTTTAAAAAAAATGCCTTTTTCATTGTGACTTGCAGATTTTTTTCCTTTATTAACACTATCTTTCTAACGACCAAAACTTTTTCTTCTCTATATAAATCACTCATAAAAGAAAGAAAGCAAATCTTTAAACCAGAACAACTTATCACTGATTAAGAAAACCCACCCTTTAATACACATTGCTTAAAGTATTGATCAGCGAGTCAAACTGAATTCTTTGGAGATATTATTTTTAACAACAGATTAAACTTAAGATATTCAGGTGATGAATTCGATTTTCTCAACAACAAAAATCAACTCTTTGACGGAAAAATATCCATCATAGTAGAATAATCTTTCACTTGTCCAGGTAAAAGTTATAATTGATTATCATGTTGATTTCCAATAGGACATTGGTCACAAAGATTTGATTTTACATAAATGCTCGAATATAAATTCAATTTTTGTCCTTTTCGAAACAATGGAAATTGACTTTATTCCTAGCAGACAAAGGTAACTAATAAAAATACAGGTATAGTCCACTAATCGATATATTATTTCAAAGGTACACGATACCATGACCGATTCCTTCTGACTGATGAATCTATCCTGGAAAATCCGAAGACGCTCGGCCATGCCGAGGAATCTTTGCGTCAATAATTCATTAAGCAAATGTATCAAGACTGCTCTTTCCATATGTACGAATGCCAGGAACCTGTCAATATATTGGTATACTTAGAAACTGCATCAAAATTTAATAGATGTTCATAAACGCACCTTGGTAGTTTTACCTTTTCTCCATTTAGAGTAGAAGTTTTATTCAAGCGTCCATATTTTGACGGTAATTTTGGCGTTTTTATTCTATGGTACAGAGTAATTGTTGACATTTTTTTTTTCAGATCTATTTTATTTTTATACTCACACAGGGAAAATTTCACAATCAATTTGAATAGATTTACCTAGAATTTTGAAACACATCTTTAATCCCATTTAAGAATTTTGCAACTCGCGGTTTACCTAACTAGAGCTTTTCAAACCAATCCGTAACAATTCTATAAATGAAGACTTTCTAATGAATGTTGAATTCCCCCATGAGAGGAAAGGAACGTAAAACAATTTAATTAACGAAAACTAATGATTATTTATTAATTAAACGAAATGACCTTTTGAGAAACAAATGCAAGTAATTAAAGGTGAGCGCAAGATGTGTAAATTCTGTACTGTCAATAAGTAGTCCACAAAGGCAGGATAATCGGTGTTATTGCGCCATACGAGCTTTTCAAAAATTATTTCTACGTAAACTTTATGAAATACGCTTATGCCCCCCCTCCCCCCCCCCAAAAAAAAAATGAAAAAAAAAAACCAGACAAACAAACAAAAATAATATTATTGAATACTTAGAAAATGGAAATAAATAGATCGACTTCACTATATGGGTAGTTCAGAAGATGAGCATAGCCACACTGTATAAACTAAAATACATGTATTCCTGTCTTAGTATGATTTTTATGCCCCTTGATCGAAAGATCCCGAGGGTATATTGTTTTTTGTCCTGTCTGCCTGTTTGTATAGCTGTTTGTCTGTCTGTTGTCAACTTTAACCTTATCATAACTATATATATTGCGCTGTCAAGGTTAAGGCTTTAATATTTGACATAAGTGTTCATTATGACAAGACCTTTTCATTAGTACATTACAGAAATTTTTTATCTTGTGACCTCAATTGTGACCTTTGACCTACATTTGAAAAACTCCAGAATTGTGTTACCAACGGGGGCATAGTGTTCCACAAACACATCATGTTCTTTTTATATAGTGGTATGCATGCTTTTCAAGTACATGTAAATTCAAAATTTACAATATCATAGTCCATGCAAATAAAGTGACATTTCTGAAATATTTTATTGAAATGTGCTTAAGGCCTGCTAAAAAACATTTTACATGTATGTATGAAACAATGCACGGATATGAAAACTTCAAACTTGTGGCAAAGGAGATTCCAGTATTCAGTGAAACTTGGTTTACGCAATTTTGATTGACTCTAAATGAGTTTACCTATAAACAACTCATAAATAAAGTTTAATGTATTGAACTCTGCATTTGTTGACGTAAAACTACTTTTATCACATTCAGTTTGTTTAAGACTCATGTCTGAAGGAATGTGGGTGTTAAAATTGAAAAGATATTGTGAGAGTGCAAATTATTCATTTGCAGAACATTACTCGATAATTTAAACACATATATAAAAAAAATCGATCCGACAGAAATCAAAAATTTAGGAAATTAATCAATAAGGGAATTCGGCCTTATCTGTTAGCAATTAGAAATGACATAGAAGCATTTCCTCTTACGGTAATGTCATTCAGTAATAGTGGATAATACTTGACAGTTTTAATGTACGCGTATTTTCAAAACAAATAATGCAGGTTTGACATTCATAATGGTCATGTCTAAAAAGTCTAAATTATCTATTGTTTCGACTAAAAGCAATATTTTGTTTAATATATTGACATTTCATTACAGTAGTAAACACGACGACGAAACAACCGCCTATATTAATAATGAGTGTACATGTGTGTCCTTGCTAAATTCTTTAGATTCATCTACACATTATATATTTGGGGAAAAAAATGAGCATTGTAAACATATAATACGCATGGTAAAAGACTACAAAGTTCAGATAAACCCCAAAAAGCTGGAGGGGGAGATAAGGTCAAATTTTTGTGAATTATAAACAGAAATATTTATTTTAAAATAATTACGTTCAAGCTAATTATTTATTCAAATATGCAGATACTAGTATCGCAAATATATAGGATTTATTTTCTCTTGTTAACTTATAGGGCATCTGAGTGCAAGTTTAATACTATCGATGAAGTTCAGGAAAATTTTGAACTGCGAAATCATTTCCTAGGAATCGCATTTTATATCAATGTACGGACCTATCCTTCAAAGTTCCAAACACAGAAACTAAACAGTTTTTTGTGATTTTTAAGTCACACAAATTTCCACGTCAGAGTTCACAGAAAATTCCACTTAAAATCAAATCTTTGATCCTCTTACGTGAAAATATCAAAGATTTTATGTATTAAACACATTTCATGGAACTCACATGTTATACTTGTTAAGTCAATATTTAATTGTTTTGCATGGATTTCACTTTCCAGTTCCGCTGAGAAATCTTTTGACAATTTTTTACAGTTGAAAGAGTTACACGTAACTGATGGTTTTATTTGGAAAATCTGTTTTAGCAAGTTTTGCAAACTTTAAAAACCATTGTTTAAAATGTAAAATTGTCTTTGATGTCCCAATCCAAGCAACAAGGTCTCGTAACAGCATACATTGTATATTTCATATCGGAGCTGATTACCAATGTTTGGACCGTCGGAAAAAGGCCAGATACCCAGTAACTTACGACGTGTGAAAATATTTGATTTTTGGTCCTAAATGTCAAATAGGCTAGAGTCCTCTCGGGCCGTGTGTTGACTTTTATGTTTAAATCGTTCTACTTAATTTCCCCCACGTTTAGCATTGGTGGCTGGTTCTAAATTGTCTTTGAATTTTGGTCCAGATACGGCTGCTCCTGATTAATGTTTATTTACAGATTTTTAAAGGGTTCAGTACGTAGAAGCGAAGATAACGAGTTGCGTCTTTTTAATTTAATTAAGCACCGGGCGTGTTTGTTTATTGTTTGTACATATCTTCAGTGGGAACACCGACGTAGGTTTAATAAATATTAAAAAACAGGTGACTAGGTTCTTCACGTACGACATAATGGCGAATTATAAATGGTCACGGTTTATTGTTCTCGTTACTCGGGTAAATAAGATTACGGTATGCCAATAAATAATTTAGGCATTTAATAACCTATACACGCTTCCCTTAAAATGGAATATTTTGTTATTGAAAAGCCTGCCTTTGATAATTCTTAAGAACCTTTGGCTCATTTTAAAATAACATGGAACTTCATTTTTAATGTACACTCTCGAAAGAATAGAGTGGTCATTATATTGCCTTTAAGGGTTTTATTGCATGCATTTTATGAGTGTACAGGGAAATTCTTTCTTGATACAACAAGTTGCTTAGAGAATTAAAATGCCAGGGTCTCGTTTGTGCATAGATAAAACACAACAATGGTTTAGAGAAATAAAAAGAATTTTTAAAAATAAGAAATTGTCTGATGGGTAATAGCTTCCTTGGGCATGGATAAAGAGAATTTACATCGACCTCCGAATGACAAACTCTAGATATCAAAACCAGGCTCCTCAGATTAATTCAACAAGAATTTGTTCTCAATTTTTCCATTATTTGTTTTTAATTATCCTTTTTATTACACCTCTGAAGCTGTATTCAAAAGACTCTATAACCAAGAGAATAAAGTACATTAACATCCTGAAAATAAACCCAATTATATGTATTGACCCTACCAATATGATCAGAAAATTATGAGCCAACATATATCATATGCGTACTATGGGTTGGGATCTGGGTACCGTGGGTGGGAACATTTACTTACTTTTTCCGGAAGCTCCCACTCGTCCGGGTCCCTGTAGATGGTCTTCTGTCGGAGGAGGTCGTTGGGTCGGTACTGTTCCCGGAACCCCCTCTGAGCGTACGTCTCCGGTAGGTCCTCTACAGGGGGGTCGGGGAGTCGGGGTGGCAAGGAAGTTTTCTGTTTGCTATTATAGTCATTATATTGCTTTTCCTGATTATTATTCTGGAACGTTTTGGAGTCATTATTCCAAGAGGAATCCAAGTTTAGATCGTTCGTTAAGTCAACACTGTCGTCTTTTTTGACGATGAATTTTGTTTTGGCATTCCGAGGGGTGTTATTGTTCACTGGGGAGTCATTCCTTACCCTAAGGTTATTTTGTCCCTCACGCCCTGTCTCCCTCCTGGGTTCGTTCCGCTGTACGGTCCCCCCTTTTTCATGTTGATTCGTCGCCTCTGTGCTTCCACCTGAACCCATAACTCCACGAAAATTGTATTAATTATAACCTTCCCTAAAACACATAATTCCAAAAATATAAAAATTAATCAGAAATTTAATTAACGGCTCGGTCACATTTTCTCCTAATGGTGAACCACCGCAATTCACTTGGACACTGAACTATGCTGATTTAAATTAAGCCATATTAGAACATTCCGAAATGGCGCGCTGCCTATTCGTATACTTTACTTGGGTCTGAAGACTGCGTAACCTCTTGGCAATCTTACAGTTCATTGGTTCGCATTTTCTGTTTATAAATAGTTCCTCGGTTTCAATTACTCTCGTTGATTGAAGGTTATACAAATTGATATTAACTGATCGTCGATCAATATAAATACAGGGTATGACATCTATGAATCAATATTTAAATATTAAGCAACCGAGGTCTGATCGAAGAATACAATAAAACACTCTGGGATTAAGATCATCTCGTAAATCTATATTCTTTAGTCATGAAGAGGTGTTTTGAGCCAGTTGGGAAGACATGCTCATCTACGATATAGACTTCAATTCCTGCAATCTTTTAAATAATACAGGATCATAATTATGTTATTTTGATTTTCAAATTATAACAAATTATCTAAAATGATTTGATTTTGAATTTATTTATGATATAAATGAGCCTTTATGTAATAAACTTCATCATACGCCATGTTATGCAGAAAGGAAGGTAAAAAAATATATAAAAAACATGGACTGAGTTATGGTTTTTGATACTAAACAACGGAAAAAATCAAATTTTGAGGCTATATGAAAATTCCAGATATGGTTACTAAAAATTTCATGTCCTTTCCAAGAATCTAAAACTCAAAACATTTTTACCACCTTTTCCCTGTCACCAAGTTAATTATAACCAAAAAATCACTTATGATTCATTCATACTTTATTTCTTTATTTCCACTTTGAAGGGTATTATGAACTTCATATAAAACACATACATTACAAATATTTAGTGAAGCTCCTTCAGAAAGGAGACCGGTGACAATACAAGAACTGGCGTGGCATCATGCTCCTCTCTGATCTGTCTGTCTCAATTAAGCAAGATCCTGCCAAGACATCGTCGGTAACTCACAGGTGATTCACGTCGATTCTCTCTATCATCTTTGAGGAAGCTTGCGGACTCAAAACCCGTGGTTCGCGACGATGCTGCCAAGAATAATACTGGTAAGACTTGAAGATGCCGCAGAAGAACGCCTCCGACAAGAACAGGTAAATCCTGTACATGTGTAGACCGCCACTATCCGTACATGCACAATCGTCGCCGTGTCCCGTGTCGCAGTAGGTGCTTGCAAGAAAAACAAGAGGCCCAAGGGTCTTTAATCGCTCTTCTGATAAATTGTACAATCTATTATTTCTATTTGAGCCTCTAACTTTATGTTAATAAGACCCAAGATGCATCAACTGACAAAGTTTGATGATTCTAAGCCAATAAGTACCCGAAATATTTATATATAGCAATAAAATGTCACAAATAGGTCACTGTTTTTTGGACGGCGTTCTCCGAAAACCCACGATGAATCAACTGACAAAGTCTTAAGCCAAAACATACATGAGATGTTCAAAAGTAGGTCACCGTGACCTACTTTTTGGTTGACATTCTCCAAAAACTCAAGATGCTTCAACTGACAAAGTTTACCAATTCTAGGCCAATAAGTACCTAAGATACTTAAATATAGGCATAAAATGTCAAAAGTAGGTCACGGTGACCTATTTTTCAGTTGACGTTCTCCGAAAACCCAAAATGCATCAACTGACAAAGTGTTATGTTTCTAAGCCAGTAAGTACCTGAGATACTTAAACATAGCTATAAAATGTCAAAAGTAGGTCACTATGACCTACTTTTTGGTCGACGTTTTTTGAAGACCCAAGATGCCTCAACTGGCTTTGATGATCATAGGTATGAAAGTATTCTAAATATGCCTTTTAAACAATTTGAAAACAAATGCCTGCAAAATTCAAAAAGTAGGTCAAGTGACCCACTTTCTCATAAATAATTATGTTTTAAGGCCTAAAGATGCAACAACTTACAAGATTTGATGGTTCTAAACCTCTCAGTGACTGAAATAATGGGATTAATGTTTTAGAAAAGATAGGCCATAAAATTCAAAAAATAGGTCATGGTGACCTTTTTTTCAGTTGACATTGTTTGAGGACCCTAGATGCATCAACTGACAAAGTTTGATGATCATAGCCCTTAAAGTGTCCAAAATATACCTGCAAATCAACTTGAAAATGAATTCCCGCAAAATTAAAAAAGTAGGTCACCGTGACCTACTTTTGAAATAACGTGATGTGAAGTCCTAAGATGCATCATCTTACAAGATTTGATGATCCTAGTCTTTATAGTAAGCAAAATAAAAACGTTTTTATTCAATGTAAATTTTGATCAACTTTGAAGTGACATTGAGATCACGCCTTTTGCCCCCGGGTGATGCCGTGAACAATTTTAATCTTCAACTTATCCTGATCAGTTTGGTGAAAATCTGTCAGGTTGTTCTGGAGTAGAAAATTTTTAGTAACCAGTACTTTTGGTTTTATTTTCCTGATGATCTCCCCTTGTTTTCGGGTCCAAACCTTAGTTTTAGTATAAATGGTAGCCTTTGAGCCAAGGATGCCCTGTGACAAATTTGACAATGATTAGCCAAGGGTTTCTTGAGTTTATTGCCCATATTCTAAAAGGATTACGCACACCGCACAAATGTCCATAACATTAGCTCTTTGAGCCTTTGGCTCAGAAGAGCTAAAAATTCCTAAATATACAATGACCAAAAGTGCCAAGTATATATAGGACAAAATTTGCAGCTCTCCACAGGCAAGTGGTGGCATCTCCATATGAGTGAACAATTCTCGAGAGGGACGTTGAACAAAATACAATCAATCTCCGTACAATAATTGAACAGTCGTTAGAGTGGCAGTCAACACTGCATCAGAACTTTTCGACTTTAAACAAGCATTTGAGTGTTGACAGAAGTAATCTAAAAACTACTCCAGCATTATGGAAAGCCACTTACCTTCATCATCCTCATACAACTAATGTATGACAAAGCTACATGCCAAGTCCTCCACAAAGGTAAGCTCACAAAAGCCTTTGAGGTGCGGATAGGAATATGACACGACACGACTTCTTCACCGATGATCTTCCTAGTGGTGGTGGACTGGATCACGCGGGAAACCACAAGAGATGGCAAGACAGGAGAAAAAATGAACTTGCACCCAGTGTTTGGAAGACTCGACTTTTATGATGACCCACGTCTTATGGCCCAGAAATATGAGCAAATGCAGCTAAAAACAGATAGGCTCGCCAGGGAAGTAGAAAAGAAAGGTCTACATAACATTGACAAGACAGGTAATGACATTTCACAACAAACAGCAAACATCAATTACGCTTCCAAAGCAAAACCTGAAAGACATGGACCCCTCGACATACATAGACAGCATTGGCTCAGCCACAAGTGAAACAAATATACATTAACGCAAAGATCAGTAAAGCAAGACACGCCTGAATCACCCTCATGCCTGCGTGGAGATCAAAAGCACTGTCTACAAGCATCAGCTCCGTACCAACGACATTAATGCTGATCCCACCTCTGATGTTTAACTTTTAGAGGTCCATGTTTGCTCTGTTCCCGATGTGTATTCTTTAAATGGACCTTTGAGCCTGAATAATGTTTGTTATTTCCATATATTTCATCCGAAACATGGAAAGTCACCATCATCACCTCCAACAAACTACAAACCTTCACAAACAGGAATGATGTCTGCGCCACATACTGGTAGGAAAAATCAAGTGGCCAAAAAGACAGACAACAAGAACCTGTGGAATGCAACAAGCTAAGATCACTCAGCAAAAAGTCTATATGAGGTGGCGCGGTGGATTTCGCACAGCTCAGAAATCCATCGGAAGACATTACATGCCATTAGAGAAAGGAAGGAAAGGATAGGTTTCTAAGATATATAGCATTGATGCTGTTGGTTGATTCCAACGGCGTAAACTCAAAAAACGCAAAAGCAGTGCTTGTGGCAGTGTTTTCCAATGTAATACAACTGACAACGCGATATCAATCGTCCAAATACGTACATTGCCAAAACACCCGTACTGGGAAAACGGAATTATGATAAGCTAGACAGGGCCAGTAGGAGAGCATCATTACTTGATTTGTGCCGGGAACCAAAAACTATAGTGACATTTTCTACGGAACTACAACACTGAAAATTCTCTCTTCTAGCAAATATAGATGAGTCAGCTTGAGAGGACATCCAAAGTCAGTTAAAGTGCCCCAAACAGTTTCAAAAAACGGCTGAAGATTTTCAACTCAGAAAACAAAGGAAATGTTTTGATTTTGATAGAACAATATTCGAATGATCAGAAAACACATATGATAGCTCTTGAAAGGGGGTATTATATTCTGCACACATATGGAACAAATACAATGTAATTTTAGCAGTGAATTACGTTATTTCTTAAGGTGTTATCAAAAAAATTAAATACATTATTATTGTAGATTCAAAATGGTGTTTCAAGTA